TTGCAAATCCTTTGACACTTCTCCATTCAAAAGGTGGAAACTAAATCCCTTCCCTTTGAATGAGGGCCAGACTAAGTCACTCACTTCTAACAAACAGATTGTGGTAAAAGTGCTGCTATGGGATTTCTGAGGCTAGATCATAAAAAGGATGGCTCACTCCCTCCCTCTCTCGCTCACTCCCTCTCTGGTCTGTCCTTGGGGAATCCAGTTACCTCACGACTTGACACTCAAATAGCTCTTTGGAAAGGACCACATGGAGAGGAACTGAGGCCTCCTGCCAGCAACCAATACCAACTTGCCAGCCAGCTCCAGCTAAGCTTCAATAAGTCTGCAGTCCCTGAACTTCATGAGAAAACCTGAACCAGAACCTTCAACCAAACCAGACCCAAATTCCCGGCCCACAGAAAAGGCAAGAAATAATAATGCTTATTGCTGCTTTGTGCCACTAAATCTGGGGGTAATCTGTTCAGCAACAATAAATAACAAATACCTACCAATCTCCCTCTGGAGAGCAGAGTCGGGAAATGGAGGGTTTTTTGGGTATTTTTTTTTAAGTTTTACCTTTTCTCTTTATACATTTATGATTGTTTGGTTTTTTAAAGTCATTTATATTGAAAGAAAGAGAAAGAAATAAAGTTAGACTTTTAAGTGTATTCCAAAAAATTATTTTTCCTGACTTTAAAAATAACACTTAGTGAAAAAGGACAAAGTTGGAGGACTGACACTGCCCACCTTCAAGACTCACTATACAGCTATAATAATCCAAAAGAGTGATATTGGAAAACAGATAAGTAGAGCAAGAAAACAGAATAAAGAGCCCAAAAACAGACCCATGCAAATACAGTCAACTGATCTTTCGCAAAGGATCAAATGCAGTTCAGTGACGATAGGATAGTCTTTTTAACAAATGGTGCTAGAATGACTGGACATCCACATGCCAAAAAAAATTAGATACTCAGCTTATACACTCCACAAAAATTAACTCAAAATGGATCACAGATCTAAATGTAAAACACAAAATTATAAACCTTCTAGAAGATAACAGAGAAAATCCAGGAGACCTTGGGTTTAATAGTGAGTTTTTAAATACACCACCAAGAGCATGATCTGAGAAAGAAGGAAAAACTAACGTTAGACTTCATTACAATTAAAAACATCTGCTCTACAAAAGGCTCTGTTAAAAGAATGAAAAGACAAGCCACAGACTGGGAAAAATATTTGCAAAATACATATGATGATAAAGGATCCAAAATATACAAAGACTTCTTAAAACTCAATGATAAGAAAACAACCCAAAAAACAGGCAAAAGACACCTCACTGAAGATCATATACAGATGTCAAATGAGCACATGAAAACAGGCTCAATATCATATTCTTAGGGAGCTGAAAATTAAAACAATAGATATCAATATGCCCCTCCCAGAATAGCTAAAATCCAAGAAACTGACACCACCAAATGCTGATGAGGATGTGGAACAATAAGAACTCTCATTTGTTGCTAAAGTGAATGCAAAATGGTACAGCCACTTTGGAAGTCAGTCTTACAAAGGTAAATATAGTCTAACCATGTGATCTAGCAACCATGCTCCTAGGTATTTATTCAAATGGGTTTAAACATTATATCTTCACAAAACCTTCACACAAGTGTTTATAGAAGTCTTATTCATAATTGCCAAAATTGGAAGTGACAAAAATGCCCTTCAATAGGTGAATGGACCAAAAAAAAAAAGAAAGAAACCTCAAAACAAACAAATAAATCTGTAGCATACCTACTCAATGGAATATTATTCAGTAATAGAAAGGTATGAGCTATCAAGGCACAAAAAAATATGGAGAAACCTTGAACACTTAGTGTAAAAAGCTGCATACTGTATATTCAACTATATGGTACTCTGAGAGAGGCAAAATATAAAGGTACTGAAAAGATCAGTGAGTTCATCACGTTGCCAGGAATTCAGGAGTAGGGATAGGAAGGGAATGAAATAAATGGAATATTTCAGGCATTAAAACTATTCTGTATGATACTGTAACGATGCAAGGATGCAAGCGTGCAAGGCCACTTCAGTCATGTCCAAGTCTTTGCGACCCAGTGGACTGTAGACCTCCAGGCTCCTCTGTCCATGAGATTCTCCAAGTAAGAATAGTGGAGTGAGGTGCCATGCTTTCCTCATAATGATGGATACATATCAATATATATTTGTCAAAACCTATAGAACTAAAGGATTAACTAAAAACACAAAGGATGAACCCTCATCTAAACCATGGGCTTTAGTTAATAAATTGTGTCACTATTGGTTCACCAGTGATAACAGACATATCATACTGATGCAGGGCGTCATAGAAACCGGTAGGGAAAGCGGACATAAAGGACATGGAGACTTCTGCTGCACTGCGTTGCACGCATGCTCAGTCGTGTCCGACTCTGCAAGCCCGTGGACAGAAGCCTGTCCAGCTTCTCTGTCCACAGAATTTTCCAGACAAGAATACTGGAGTGGGTTGCCCTTTCCTCCTCCAGGGGATCTTCCCAACCCAGGGATCAAACCCACATCTACTGCGGCTCTTGCATTGGCAGGTAGATTCTTTACCCCTGAGCCACTTGGTAATCCGAGGACTTCTGTACTACGTGCTAATTTTCTATAAACCTAAAACTGCTCTAAAAACTAAAGGGTTTTTTTTTTTTTTAAGTAGCACTAACCAATTGAAGGAAAAGTTGAAATAAGATAATACAGCCACTTATAACCTCAGCAGAAAGATGACCACTGTTAACACCTGGGCTTAGTTCCCTCCAGTCGCTTTTCCAGTTTTGGGTGGTTTTTTTTTTTTTTTTAATGTCTATGCGTACATCATTTAGAAAAAAAAAAAAAGAGTTGAAATCATTCTGCAAAATCCATTCTAACAGTTTATGGTCTAGTTTCAGTTTAGATTTTTAACTGCAAAGAAAGTAGCCCATATAAAACACTAGTGATACCAAAAACAGATTCTAGAGGGGCCAGTTGCTATGGGAATGATTGAAAATAAATTTCATTTCACACTACACCCTGGTAATGTACTGACCAGAAGGAAAGATAAATATTGGGAGTAAGTCAGAAGGGTAGCCAAGAAAACTTCTAATCAGGAAGGCAAATACTTCAGCCTACTGAGGTTTCAAAGAAGCCAGTAGCATCACTTTGCAATTTAACTACTTATGCTCTTTCAGCAACCATGTCAATGCGGGGAAAGGACCCAGGCAAAGCGGCTGGAATACATCCTCTCTCTTCTCCACTGACAGTTTGATGGCCAAACAGCCAGCAGGTCTCTCTCAGGATGTGGGCTGTCTCAGCAGCGTGGTGCAGAGCCAGGAAAAGAAAAATCACTCCTTCTCTCCAAAGGAGATGCTGCAAAGTTCAGGCTCGAGGTGATCAGTCTGGACACCGCATTGGCCCTTAGCGTCGGAGTGGGCCTGGGTGTCCCACACTGCACAGGGGTTAACACTTTAGATGCTGGATCATGGGGCCGTCTGGAGGTTCTGGGGGATGGACCAGGAGGCCAGAGGGTAGGGGGCATTCCAGGAGCTCAGGCGAGTGACTATTTTCCCACAAAAGAATCTTAACATATGAAAAAGCAAAAGGCTAAATCAGGGTGTACCAACTGATTTCTCACCTTCCCACAACCAACACTTTTATGAAAGATGAGACTGTTTAGAACACACCGCAGGGGCAGCCTTGAAGGGGAAAAGCAGAGCCGATACCACAGACAGCCGGTGACTGTTCCCATCTCGGGGAAGAGCACAGCTTTATCATCAAACAGATCCATTTCATACTTGGCTCTGCCAAGTGTTACTATAAACTATATAATCCCCACTTTCCTCATCTGTAAAAGGAGTGTAATGGTTTCTCCTCCATGAGTTTATGATAATGAGATAAGCCCTGGGAGGTGCTAGCCAAAATGCCTGGCACAGAAGTGCTCATCCGATATAGCTTCCATCGCTGCCACCACCATTAGAGATGGCTGGTCTGTGCTCCTAATCTCTTTCCTTTTCCTTTGTTAACACAGCTAGTGGCCCCATCGCCCTCTTTCTGTCCATATTCCAACACAGATGTCCAGTCACTATCGCCATAAAAATACAAAGTCCCCAAAGTGTGAAATATCAGGTAGTTATCTTTTTCCTACAGTATCCCAGGAATAGTTCTGTACTCTGGAGAGAAACAAAGACTTTTGATGCCAAACCATCCCAAATCACAAATCACATTGATACAGTTATGGACACTTTGGGTAACAGACTCTAACTCAAAGCATAGGAATTAGGATTAGAGTTGCCAGGCATCATCAAGGCTGCAGAAACCCAGGATTAGCGTAAACAGTGATTGATAACCAACATATGACACCATTTCCAAATGGTGCAAAAGAATATCCAGCTGTTTGCTGTCGTTAAGCTTAGTGGATTCATATTTTTGTTTTTTAAAAAATCAGTATGTAAAGTAATTAGCCTCCAACTAATAAAAATAAATGAGAAAAAAATTAAAAAAAATTTTAAAAGAAAGAAAAAAAATTTTTTAAATAAAAAATCAATATTGAAAATATAATCAAACATACATCTGTCTGTATTTCCCAGAAATGACATTTGTTAACATTTGTTATGCTCGCATCAAGTCCTTTTAAAAAAAAAAATAATAATAGGACAGATAAAATTAAAATCTATTACCTTCCCTACTCCCAAATCTGTTTATCTACAATTCCTATCAAGAATTTATCTTTGTCTAAAGCAGTTCTACTTTATTCTTTCCCTTATTGAAATTTTCTTTTTTTCTAACAGAAAGCAAATAAAAAGAAGCAATGTACAAGGGAAGATGTCTATGTAAAGGGAAGCTGCACCAGGACACACTCTCACCTGCTCCAGGCACAGCACACGCTCACTGCAGGCAAAGGCTATCAGGGGTGATTCTGCATACTCAGACCTACCAACATCTAGGAAGCAGTGCAGACCCCCCTAAGGTCTGTGACTGAACTCCCAAAGGCTTACCTGGGTCCAGGTGCGTGAAAGAGCCCACCACAAAGTCCAGGGTGGACACGGCAAGCAGGAGCAGCAGCAGCAGCTGCAGGCGGATTATCCATTTGACACCTGCTAGGTTAATCCCCAGCAAGGCCAGAAGCACGGCAACTGAAATTCCTCGCACGGCCCAGATGTTCCTGAGACTCAGCAGATCTGACACGGATTCAGCGAAGCCGGTGATGTACAGGGCACCTGCAACACACTGACAGGCATCTCCAGGTAGGAAGAGTCACCAAGAAAAAAAAAAAAAGCCTCAGGGCTGCCCGGCACTGGGGACCCTGCTCACCTTCGAAATTCAACACCCAGAAAGCAGCAAGGGGGCTAAACGAGCCCTTCTCCCCGAGGAGCACTTCCTGGGGCCCCCTTCCTTCTTGCCTACATCTCTCCCACCATCCACAGGGGACAATGACTATCAGTGGTAAGTAACATTAAAAGACTATGGGAGAAAAAAGATGGGGCTTTGGGCCAAGGAGACCTTGAGACTCTCCCGTGAAGAACTAAACAGAGAACAGAAACACAAGGTGGGGGTGGGGTCCTATCTCAGAGCCTTGGAAGGGCACTGAAGCAAACCTCAGAGTTCTCTCTATTTCTTTGAATGTGTTACTACTATTTTTTAAATTACCTAAAACCTAGAAATGAGAAAAAAATGAGCACATTCTTTCAATGTCATATGGAACATTTCATGCAAAAATGGGCTCAATAAAGGACAGAAATGGTATGGATCTAACAGAAGTAGAAGACATTAAGAAGACGTGGCAAGAATACACAGAAGAACTGTACAAAAAAGATCTTCACAACCCAGATAATCACGATGATGTGATCACTTACCGGGAGCCAGACATCCTGGAATGTGAAGTCAAGTGGGCCTTAGAAGGCATCACTACAAACAAAGCTAGTGGAGGTGATGGAATTCCAGCTGAGCTATTTCAAATCCTAAAAGATGATGCTGTGAAAGTGCCACACTCAATATGTCAGCAAATTTGGAAAACTCAGCAGTGGCCACAGGACTGGAAAAGGTCAGTTTTCATTCCAATCCCAAAGAAAGGCAATGCCAAAGAATGCTCAAACTACCACACAACTACAACCATCTCACATGCTAGTAAAGTAATACTCAAAATTCTCCAAGCCAGGCTTCAGCAATACGTGAACCGTGAACTTCCAGATGTTCAAGCTGGTTTTAGAAAAGGCAGAGGAACCAGAGATCAAATTGCCAACATCCGCTGGATCATCGAAAAAGCAAGAGAGTTCCAGAAAAACATCTATTTCTGCTTTATTGACTATGCCAAAGCCTTTGACTGTGTGGATCACAATAAACTGTGGAAAATTCTGAAAGAGATGGGAATACCAGACCACCTGACCTGCCTCTTGAGAAACCTGTATGCAGGTCAGGAAGCAACAGTTAGAACTGGACATGGAACAACAGACTGGTTCCAAATAGGAAAAGGAGTACGTCAAGGCTGTATATTGTCACCCTGCTTATTTAACTTATATGCAGAGTACATCATGAGAAATGCTGGGCTGGATGAAGCACAAGCTGGAATCAAGATTGCTGGGAGAAATATCAACAACCTCAGATATGCAAATGACACCACCATTATGGCAGAAACTGAAGAAGAACTAAAGTGCCTCTTGATGACGGTGAAAGAGGAGAGTGAAAAAGCTGGCTTAAAACTCGACATTCAAAAAACTAAATTTATGACATCCAGTCCCATCACTTCATGGCAAACAGAGGGGGAAAAAGTGGAAACAGTAAAAAATTTTATTTTCTTGGGCTCCAAAATCAGTGCAGATGGTGTCTGCCACCATGAAATTAAAATATGTTTGCTCCTTGGAAGGAAAGTTATAACCAACCTAGACAGCATATTAAAAAGCAGAGACATGGAGAAGGAAATGGCAACCCACTCCAGTATTCTTGCCTGGAAAAGTCCATGGACAGAGGAGTCTGGCGGGCTGAAGTCCATGGGATTACATGACTGAGCATGTGTGCATGAGGGTGGAGAGAGATGGGTTGGTAGCAATAAAGTGGTAGAACTAAAAAAAATAAAAAATAAAAAAAAAAATCAGAGACATTACTGTGTCAACAAAGATCCATCTAGTCAAAGCTATGGTTTTTCCAATAGTCATGTATGGATATGAGAGTTGGACTATAAAGAAAGCTGAATGCTGAAGAATTGATGCTTTTGAACTTCGGTGTTGGAGAAGACTCTTGAGAGTCCCTGGACTGCAAGAAGATTTAATCAGTCCATCCTAAAGGAGATCAGTCCTGGGTGTTCACTGGAAGGACTGATGTTGAAGCTGAAACTCCAATACTTTGGCCACCTGATGTGAAGAGCTGACTCAGTGGAAAAGACCCTGATGCTGCGAAAGATTGAGGGCAGGAGGAGAAGGGGACGACAGAGGATGAGATGGTTGGATGGCATCACCAACTCAATGGACATGAGTTTGGGTAAACTCCTGGAGTTGGTGATGGACAGGGAGGCCTGGTGTTCTGTGGTTCACGGGGTCGCAAAGAGTCGGACACGACTGAGCGACTGAACTGAACTGAAATGATGGAACAAATCATTTCACTATCTAGGTGAAAGTACTTAGTCCTACTCACTGTCCCAGATTCAGTGAAGTTACATGTTAACTTTTTTTTTTTTTCCCAGCAGAGATGTACAGAACTTCTGGGTAGAAGAGATAACACCAAACATTAGGGTTTGTTGTCCTATACAACATTAACTGGTTTTGTATCTAACCTAGCAATCTCATCCTTACATTTATTCATGAAACTGCCTAACTAGGAACTTATGGATCTGATTTGTATCTGTCCAAGACCTGTACCTCACTCAACTTCAACATCTTACTGGCTCCTCTAGTAATCAATGAGTCAAAGAAACTCTCTGGAACATGTTTATATTTGCCTGAGAGTCAAGATGTTACCCCTTAAAAAATATGTGAAGCACAATTTCAAATAAACATTTGAAAAAAATACCAACCTCACTTTCCATAGTTCCTTAGCCCCCGTCACTCTGCACTTATTGCTCTCTCTCAAAATAAATTCTACTCAAGCTTCAGTCAAGGTCCTCCTTCTTCATGCAGCCATTCCTCATCAACCATTTTATGAATAAACACTATGCTTACTGTTGCTATGTGTGTATATATATACACACATATATATGTGTGTGTACATATATATATATACACAATGGAATATTATATAATGCAATTATATACAATAAAATACTACTTAGTCATTTAAAAAAAATGAAATAATGCCATTTGCAGCAACAAGCAAGTCAGAAAGAGAAAAACAAATACCATATGATATCAGTTGTGTGTGAGCTTCCCTGATGGCTTAGATGGTAAAGAATCCACCTGCAAAGAGAGACCTGGGTTTGATTCCTGGGTTGGGAAGTTTCCTTGGAGAAGGGCATAGCAACCCACTCTAGTATTCTTGCTGGAGGATCTCCATGGACCGAGGAGCCTGGTGGGCTACAATCCATGGGGTCACAAAGAGTCGGACATGACTGAGTGACTAACCGCAACACAGCATCAGTTATGTATGGAATCTAAAATATGACACAAATGAAACCATTTACAAAACAGACTCACAACAGAGAGAAAAGACTTGTGGTTGCCAAGGGGGAGGGGATTTAGGGAGGGGTGGAGTGGAGGTTAGGGTTAGCAGACATAAACTATTACATATATAGAGTGAATAAAGGTATAGCACAGAGAACTGTATAGCACAGAGAACTAAATTCAATACCCTATGATAAACCATAATGGAAAATAATATACTTTAATTATTTTTTTAAGAATTTAAATAGCAAAAAAAGAAGAAGAAATCACCTCAAAAAAAAAAAAAAAAGGTTACTGTTAGGATTAAATGAGACAATTTGTGTGAAATCCTAGAGCAACACCTGGCTCATAGATAAGAGTTGCAGAAATAATAGCTATTGGCATTATCATTATTGTTGCTGTTACTGTTGTTCAGTCATAGCTACTGAAGAAAAGGAAACAGACATGAATTTAATAAAATACTTTGTTAGTGCTAAATAGATGATGGTACTGTCACTGGAAATTTGCAACACAAGTTATAAAGATTCTTGAAACTAAAGAGATTTACTTTTAGGGGAAAGTTTTGACAGCCCCAAATTAAATCAACTTCTCAAAAACCTAAGGATTTGAGGGTAAGAGGTAAGAGTAACTCTGGAATGTAGGTAAAAGTATCAGAGATTTCATATTTGGTATGTAGAGGAGTTGATAAGTAATGTTTTTGTTTGGGAAGTATAGAAAAAGTATAATTACAGCTCCTAAAAGCAGATAGTAACTACCCAAAGAATGAAAAGCATAGTAGTACTTCCAAATCAACAAGGGAGAAAATAGAACAGAAATAAATTTAAGCCATGATGGCAAAATAAGGAGAAATTTTTTAAATTTCAAATTATCTAGAAAGCAATAAAGAGGATTTATTCTAAAACTTGAGCACATTAATCCTGTATTCAGAAGGGGGAAAACTACAACTCTAATTTTCTTTAATAGTTTATAAATACATGAACAAAGTATTAAGAAGTGATTTTAAAAACCAATATAAATACAAAGATAGAAGAAATATTTAATAAAGGGATATCTGAAATTATAAAATAAAAGCAAGAAACAAAAGAAAGTATACAAAGAACAAAGCTGATTTTTTTCTTTTTTGAGATCAGTAAAATACATAAACACCCCTCAGCCCAATTAAGAAGAGAAAGTACAAAAATACAGACTTTTAGAAGTGAGAAAAGGAATAAAACTACTCTTACATAAGAGAGTAAAACAATGAATAGAGAATGAATGTACCATGAATTACAGTACATCCATATCATACAACACTAAGCAACTAGTTTAAAAGCATGACTTCAAGGCATTGGCCTAGCAGAATGTCAATGACTTCTTGTTCAGTGATAAATACAAATCATAGAATAGGTTATGAAATTTGTCCCCATCTTTGTAAAAACAAGCAAGTGCTTCAAACATCCATAAATTCATGTCAGTGAACACAAGGGAAGGTGCTGAACAGGACACTTGGTGTTCACACTGGTTACCACAGGAGGGGAGGGAAACAACCTTTTCATCTCCATTATCTCTGATATGCTAACTGGTTACAATGCACATCATTTTGCAATTTTAAAGAAATTTTATCAAGGAAAATAAAAACAAACATATTTAGAATATTATTCTGTTTATGCAAAAACTGCATCTGGCACAGTGCCTCCAGGACACAAGGCTCCCCCATGGCCCCATCACTGCCAGCCAGCTCATGCCTGGCTTGGGCTCCGGGCTCCCCTAGGGAGAGGTATGGACGACAGCAGCTGCCAGCCCTTGCCCAGAGCAATCCAACCACCTTAGACATGGTCTACCTTCCAACTGTGAAGCTCCTCCTCACTAGAAAATATCCCTTTTGACTTGTTTAATGTGTCAATCTCCTCAGAATTTACTATATTTAAAAAATTTTATCTCCTCTTAAAGTTTAGAATCACAAGCATTCCTTTTTCTCTTTAGTCATCTACAGAGAACTAACCCTCTGACACAGGAACCAGAGGGTGTCACCCACTATATTTTCAGGGTGTAACACCTCCTTTTGAAAGCATTTGTTGTTTTTAAAAAATTGCATTTCACAATCATAGGCATTTTTCTTTCCAGAAAGAAAATCTACCTAGAAGCTTTTAGACAGGACAGTGCAAGCTGAAGCTGGATATTCTGCATCCAGGGCAAGTGATCCTGAGGAAGCACTCAGGAGGTAGGGCAGGGAGCAAGGAGGGACCCCAGTTCATCACTTCCTCCACACACAACAGGCCTGGCACTAGTGTCTCAGAGAGATGAACGGGGAAGGGTCTGGAAGGATGCAAGGCAATGGAAAGTTTTGTAAGCTTAAAAAAAAAAATCATTATTTTAAGTGTCTGTATCTTCTTAATGTTGATGTTCTGGGGCAAGGGCCAGAAAACTCTGGCCCTCTGGCCAAATCCTGCTGCTGCCTGTTTGGAGAATAAAGCTTAATTGGCACACAGCCATGTCCACTTCAAATTGTCTATGGCTTCTTTCACACTTATATAGCAGAGTTGAGTCACTGTGAAAAAAACCTATGACACTCTCACAAAAAACTAAAATATTTACTATCTGGCCCTTTTCAGAAGAACTTTGATGATCCTGCTCCAGGGCACAACAGGCCATCTCCTCAGTTCAGTTCAGTCGCTCAGTCAGGTCCAAATCTTTGCGATCCTATGGACTGCAGCATGCCAGGCCTCCCTGTCCATCACCAACTCCCGGAGCTTGCTCAAACTCTTGTCCATCGAGTCAGTGATGCCAGCTAACCATCTCATCCTCTGTTGTCTTCTTCTCCTCCTGCCCTCAATCTTTCCCAGCATCAGGGTCTTTTCCAATGAGTCACTTTGTCACATCAGGTGACCAAAGTATTGGAGTTTCAGCTTCAACATTAGTCCTCCCAATGAATATTCAGGACTGATTTCCTTTAGGATGGACTGGTTGGACCTCCTTGCAGTCCGAGGGACTTTCAAGAGTTCTGCAACACCACAGTTCAAATGCATCAGTTCTTCGGCGCTCAGCTTTCCTTATAATCCAAATCTCAAGTCCATACATGACTACTGGAAAAACCATAGCTTTGACTAGACAGACTTTTGTTGGCAAAGTAATGTCTCTGCTTTTTAATATGCTGTCTAGATTGGTCATAGTTTTTCTTCCAAGGAGCAAGCGTCTTTTAATTTCATGGCTGCAGTCACCATCTGCAGTGATTTTGGAGCCCAAGAAAATAAAGTCAGTCACTGTTTCCATTGTTTCCCCATCTATTTGCCATGAAGTGATGGGACCGGATGCCATATTTTAGTTTTTTGAATGTTGAGTTTTAAGCCAACTTTTTAACTCTCCTCTTTCACTTTCATCAAGAGGTTCTTTAGTTCCTCTTTGCTTTCTGCCATAAAGATGGTATCTTCTTCATATCTGAGGTTATTGATATTTCTCCTGGCATTNTGAAAAGACCCTCATGCTGAGAAAGATTGAAGGCAGGAGGAGAAGGTGACAGAGGATGAGATGGTTGGATGGCATCACTGACTCGACAGACATGAGTTTGAGCAAGCTCCAGGAGTTGGTGATGGACAGGGAGGCCTGGCGTGCTGCAGTCCATGGGGTTGCAAAGAGTTAGACACAACTTAGCAAATGAACTGAAGAACCAGGAATGAGGACCCTCAGAAACCCCAATCACTCTCTGGAAGAAAAAGGTCTCACATCAATGATCTAACTTTCCACTTTAAGAAACTAGAAAACAAAGAGTGAACTAAACCCAGAGGAAAGAGAAGGAAAAAACTAATAGAAATTGGAGCAGAAATAAATGAAACAGAGGTCAGAAAAAGAATAGAAAAAAGTAACAAAACCAAAAATTGCTTCTTTGCAGACAAACCTTTAACTAGACTGACCAACAAAAGAGGAAGACTTGAATGATTAAAATCAGGAATGAAAGGGAGACCACTGCTATCAATCTTACAAAAACAAAAGATTATAACGGAATCTATGAATGATTATATGCCAAAACATGAGATAACCTAGATAAAAAGGACAATTTCCTAGAAAGATATAAACTACCAAAACTCAAGAAGAAACATAAGGTCAGAATATGCCTATGTAAGTAAAGAGACTGAAATAGCAATCAAAAAACTTCCTACAAAGAAAAGCCCAGGGCTAGATGGTTTCACCACCAAACTCTCCCAAATGTTTAAAGAAGAATTAATACCAATCCTCCATAAACTCTTCCCAGAAATAGAAGAAGAGGTGAGAACACTTCCCAACTCATTCTGTGAGGCCAGGATGATCATGACACCCAAACTAGACAACAGTATCACAAGAAAACTACAGATCAATATCCTTCACAGTATAGAGGCAAAAATCCTCAACAAAATGCTAGCACGCTGTATCTAGCAGCATATGAAAACAGCCACATCTTGATCAGAGAGCCCAGCCCAGGTCAGGCAGAGAAGAAGCAGGGGTATGCTGAGGCCACTGACCAGAGGGGCACGGGTGTCTCTGGCTGGGCCCCAAAGCAACAGAAAGTAAGCAAGCAAGCCTGTCAGTGCGATGGCCTTTCAAGAGGGGCTGCCTGCTCTTGGAAAACATCTTTGCGATCACTCTTCCTCCCAAGTCAGTTCACGTTCAGGAGACTTCCTCTCTTTGAAGGTGGGGGGCAGGGTGGGGGGCATGAGGAGGGAGGGCTCCCCGTCCGCTAGCACTGGTCCCCTGTCTGTGGTATCTGCTTCAAGAGCTGAGCTTTTTGTCTACCCCAGGAAGCAGGGGAAGTGAGGACTGCTGTTTGTCCCTCTTGCAGCCTGCTTGGCTATAAAACAAAGTAAAAAAAAAAAAAAAATCAGTATATAAATCCCCGGGGTAATAAAGTAAACTGACTGTTTATTGCTCACCTCCCAAACTACCCTGCTTAAAGACCTTTCTCCATAAAGGCAAGGGGTTTTTAAGAGTGCACTGACCATGTGTCTGCCTTTTATGCATCTGTCCTACACACACACACACTCAGAGTTTTGTGCTGTTGAACAATCAGATGTATTTTTGCTACAACATCCTGTCCCTGCTGCTTAAATATAAAAGGAACGGACTGATGCTTTCTTTGAGGAGACTCTTGTACTCTTACTTAGAGAGATTCTTTTCTTTAAACTATTTTTTCAGCCACCCACCACCCTTTGCACCATCATCAGAGCCTTTTCAGTCCAAGAAGTCCTCACAAAGGCCTGCTGCTTAACGTCTGCACTTGCTTCCTCAGCGCTAGGTCACCATCCCTGTGTTTTAGCTAAACACGCTTCAGTACTTCTCTCTCCTCAGTGGTTTTCTGAGGGCCTCCGTCCACCCTGGTGAGGGGCCCCCTCATTAGTATTCTCCTTCTCAGACAAGGCATCCACACAGGGGCTTTCAGCCTCCCTCTTGAGGCCGTCAAGCCATCAATGAGCCTAGAGCTCCGGTTATGCACTTGCTTCCTCAGCGCTAGGTCACCATCCCTGTGTTTTAGCTAAACACGCTTCAGTACTTCTCTCTCCTCAGTGGTTTTCTGAGGGCCTCCATCCACCCTGGTGAGGGGCCCCCTCATTAGTATTCTCCTTCTCAGACAGGGCATCCACACAGGGGCTTTCAGCCTCCCTCTTGAGGCCGTCAAGCCATCAATGAGCCTAGAGCTCCGGTTCATTTGAGAACTGTCTGCTTCTAGGGAAGTCCCTGGCACAGGCGAAATGTCCCCTTTTCAGCGTAAAAGTGCCCCAGGGACTAGGCCACCCAGCTGCTGTTCGGGCTCCGGCCACTGCTGTGCACCCCCTCCCCAAACAGGCTGTAAGGATGCTCCCAGCCCGCACCTCCCGGCTCCCTGGCAGCAGCAGGACTCCAGAGGCAGAGGTGGTGGAGGAGGAGGAGGCTTGGAGACTAACGGTTAGGGCCCTGGACCAGAGCCCGGCTCCGCTCTGAGCTCCCTCAACCATCCACTTGCCTCTCGGGTCAGCGGTGGGGGCAAGGGGGCAGGTGGAACGTGGATGAGAAGAAGGCGGCAGATGGCAAGTCAAGAGAAGCCATTCCACAGGTCGGCAGCCTCACCTGTCCAAACACATACAGCAGCCCGATGGTGCCTCCCGTCTGCCCACCAAGGACTGCAGTGATCATGGAGTACACGCCGCCGCTGCCCATGCCACAGTGCTCCCCAATCCCGATGCCGGACAGCACGGTGACCAGGGCCACCAGGGCGACGAAGGACACCAGAAACACGCCCGCAAGCACTCCTGTGTTTCCCTGCGGGGGGTGGGCGGGGGGGGAGGAAAGCAAGGACTCAGGTCAGCGTCAGGGCACAGGGGGGAGCACTGACCACCACCCCTATGCCCTCAGAGGTGAGCCCGCTGGGAAAGGACAGAGGCAGCACCACAGGGGTGAGGCTTGGAAGAAATTTCAGATAAGCCGAGTGTTCTTACAGCAAACTCTGCAAGACTTCCAAGCCCTGACAAGTCAAGTCAAAGCCACATCCTACCCCCACAAGGCCCTTCCTGGTCTGTCCCCTCTCCACCTCCCCACCCTCCCATCCCTCGGCTGACAACTCCCCCACAGATGCACTGGGTGTCCCAGTGGTGACCTCACTGCTCCCTCACCTCCACCCTCCTACCCATGAGGCTCCTGCCTGGAATGCCTTCCTGCCCACTCCTCTTCCCTGCCAGGTTGACTCCAATGCATCCTTCAGGACAGGGTCCATTTCCTTCTCCAGGAAGCTGTCCCCAAACCCCTTCGTCCGGGCTCCGGCAGCACCCAGGGCTTAGTGCCCGTCCCAGCACTTGTCTTACTCAGTCTGTTTCCAAGCCATCTTACCTCTGGGCTGTGTCCTCCAGGATTACACAGGATTTGGTTTGGGGAGGGGGTGGTTTCTTTGCCTTCTCCATTTCTCTCTCATTTGTGCGCACGGTACACATCTACTATACCTACTCTCCTCTCACTCTTCTGACATTTAAACATGCTTATCATCTGAAAGATATTTGAGTGTTTAGAAGTTCAATGCATTGAAAAATTGGTTAATTTATATGAAAGACCTTTTATAAATGAACAAAGAAGCATTGCTGGAGAAGACTCTTGAGAGTCCCTTGGACTGAGATCAAACCAGTCAATCGTAAAGGAAATCAACCCTGAATATTCCTTGGAGGGACTGATGCTGAAGCTCCAATACTTTGGCCACCTGATGCGAAGAGCCAACTCATTAGAAAAGACCCTGATGCTGGGAAAGATTGAAGGCAGGTGGAGAAGGGGACGACAGAGGACGAGATGGTTGGATAACATCACCGACTCAATGGACAAGAGTTTGAGCAACACTGGGAGCCGGTGAATGACAGGGAAGCCTGGTGTGCTGCAGTCCATGGGGTCGCAAAGGGTTGGATACGACTGAGCAACTGAACAACAACAAAAATAGTGTGAGTGGTGAGGAGAAAAAGGAAAATATTTTCTTCATTTTTATTTTGACAACTATTTAGATGGAGGTTGGAGAATGAAGTGGGATTATTGTATTTGTTAATCTACTGGATTTTCAGCTGAGAGTAATGCCATACCAAGCAAAACTATGATTCTATTAATAGAGAAGGGGAAAAAATGGATTTAAAGTTTGTCACAGTAAACTACATGGTACCTAAAGGATTAGGTTTTATTCAGGAAGTTACTTATTTTATTAATTTTATATTTTTAATGAACTTATACTATTCTCTTCCTTTGTTTTCGCACTCTTAAATTGTCTACGTGGGATAATTTTTAAAAGTCTGTATCAATCTTTACGTTTTCATATCAAAACTGCCACTACACCATTTTTCAAATTACAAGTATGCTGCCAAATTATTCTTTAGAATTGATATTTTCTGTTTAAAAATGACTTGGGTATGACCTCTACTTTATGTTATCCCCTAAAAGCTCTACTTTATTTTTGGCATTTCACATTTACCTTTATTTCCATGTTCAAATATGATTTTTCAGACAAAACTAATGTCAGAATTGAAAAGGAGAGATAACTTTAGGGCAAAAGGATGTATTTGTGTGGCAGCAGCCTCAAAAATGGTCCTGGTGGGCCCCACCTCCAGGCATTCATGCCCTTGTGTAGTCTGCTTCCCTGAGTGGGGGCTGGATGGCGTGACTCACTTTTAGTGAGCAGAGCCCTGCAGAAGTGATGAGATGTCATTTCTGAGATGAGGATAGAAAAGACCCTGATGCTGGGAAAGATTGAAGGCAGGTGGAGAAGGGGACGACAGAGGACGAGATGGTTGGATAACATCACCGACTCAATGGACAAGAGTTTGAGCAACACTGGGAGCCGGTGAATGACAGGGAAGCCTGGTGTGCTGCAGTCCATGGGGTCGCAAAGGGTTGGATACGACTGAGCAACTGAACAACAACAAAAATAGTGTGAGTGGTGAGGAGAAAAAGGAAAATATTTTCTTCATTTTTATTTTGACAACTATTTAGATGGAGGTTGGAGAATGAAGTGGGATTATTGTATTTGTTAATCTACTGGATTTTCAGCTGAGAGTAATGCCATACCAAGCAAAACTATGATTCTATTAATAGAGAAGGGGAAAAAATGGATTTAAAGTTTGTCACAGTAAACTACATGGTACCTAAAGGATTAGGTTTTATTCAGGAAGTTACTTATTTTATTAATTTTATATTTTTAATGAACTTATACTATTCTCTTCCTTTGTTTTCGCACTCTTAAATTGTCTACGTGGGATAATTTTTAAAAGTCTGTATCAATCTTTACGTTTTCATATCAAAACTGCCACTACACCATTTTTCAAATTACAAGTATGCTGCCAAATTATTCTTTAGAATTGATATTTTCTGTTTAAAAATGACTTGGGTATGACCTCTACTTTATGTTATCCCCTAAAAGCTCTACTTTATTTTTGGCATTTCACATTTACCTTTATTTCCATGTTCAAATATGATTTTTCAGACAAAACTAATGTCAGAATTGAAAAGGAGAGATAACTTTAGGGCAAAAGGATGTATTTGTGTGGCAGCAGCCTCAAAAATGGTCCTGGTGGGCCCCACCTCCAGGCATTCATGCCCTTGTGTAGTCTGCTTCCCTGAGTGGGGGCTGGATGGCGTGACTCACTTTTAGTGAGCAGAGCCCTGCAGAAGTGATGAGATGTCATTTCTGAGATGAGGATATGAGAAGACCTTGGCTTTCATCTTGGGCACTTGCTTCCTCACTCTAGGTTGTCGGCCCTGGGGAAGACCAGCTGCAGGTACTGAGACAACATTGTGAAGAGGCCGATATGACGAAGCCTGACAACAACCTCATCGTGATCTTAGCAACAGACCCTATGCCAGTGGAGCCTTCATATGAAACTGTAGCCCTGACTGACAGCTTGGCTGCAACCCCATAAGAAAGCCTGAGCCAGAGGCAGCCAGCTAAGTTGCTCATGGATCCCTGAATCACAGTAACAACCAGATAAATACAAATTTGTGACTTCAAGCTGCTAAGTACTGGACTAATTTCTTATGCAGCAATAGATGATAACTTATACAAGTTGTACTTCACTTGGGGGATGTACCTAAAGCACACTTCTCGATAGCCACTTCTCAAAAAATAATCACCCAGCAGAAAAGTTAAGAGGAGGCCCTAAAATTTAAGAATCGAGATAAAGAGAGCCTATCCTTTCCTCCTTCCACTGTTCTGTAACCATCGCCTGCAGAAGGCAGAGCCCAGGGGCCCAGGCCGTCACTGCCAGGCTGTCCTCTGCCACAGCAGGCAGCTGACTGGGCCTCCCTAGGACATAGGCTGGAGGTGCTGGGCAGAGGGGTGGCCCCAGGAAGGGGAAAACCAGAGCTCGATCCCAGAAGGCTGAGAATGCCTGCTAGCACAAGGCATCTGAGCTGGAGGCTTTGTGTTTTGTAAGGGCTCCCCTGTAAGTTTTGGAGGATATAAGAGGCAGGGATTCACACCATCCACATCAGAGAGGTTGCTAAACCTGCTCTAAGCTTTCCACACATTAATAAAGAAAACTTCCAGACCCACTTTCAGGCTCTGGTTAAAGGTGAAACCTGAAGCTACAGGCCTGGGTATGGAGAAGAGCAAGAGCTGAGGAAGGACTGGCCTCACCCAGTCTCCTAAGAGGGCTAAGAATCCCATATACCCCACTACAGTGAAGCTCTCATCCCCTAGAATTTACAGATGTGACAGTTAATTTTATGTGCCAGCTTGGCTAGATTATAATGACCAGTTTTTTTAGTCAAACGCTAGTCTAGAAATTGCCATAAATGTATTTTTAAGATGTGTTTAATATGTACAATCAGTTGACCTTAAGTAAAAGAAATTACATAATATGGGTAGTTCTCATGCAACCAGTTGAGGGCCTTAAGAGCAAAGACTGAGGTTTCCCAAAAAAGAAGGAATTTGGTCTCCAGACTGTAATATTTAAGTTTCTAAGTTTTCAACTCAAAAACCTGCAACTCAATTCTTACCTGCATCTCACTTACCCTACAGATTTTGGACTTGTCAGCCCCCACAATCACATGAGCCAAAATCTGACAATAAACACATACACACACCTCTCTCTCTCTCTACCTCTGTGAGATGACAGAAAATAAATACAGCCATCCCTCAGTATCCCCAAGGGATTAATTCTGGGACTGCTCTCAGATACCAAAATCTGTGAATGCTCAGGTTCCATAGTCAGCCCTCCCTAACCAATTTCACATCCACAGATTCAACCAACAGTGGACCATGTAGTACTATAGTACTTATTGAAAAAATCCAAGGATAAATGGAGTGTGTAGTTCAAACTCATATTGTTCAGGGGTCAACTGTACATTGGTCTCTGCACCTGGTTTCTGGAACAAAGTCCCTAAAACCTTGTCATTTCTCCAGTGACAAGAGCACTAGGAACATCTGTCATTCTAATATTAGTATTTGACCCCATCCCTGAGCCTACTGGCTCAGAGGGTAAAGAATCTGTCTGCAGTGCAGGAGACCCAGGTTCAATCCCTGGGTCAGGAACATCCCCTGGAGAAGGAAATGGCAACCCACTCCAGTATTCTTGCCTGGAGAATCCCATGGATAGAGGAGCCCAGTGGCTAGAGTCCATGGGGTCACAAAGAGTCAGACATGTCTGAGTGACTAACACTTTTTCACTTTTCATCCCTGACCCAGGGCTGCTAAAACCCTCGTAAACTCCGAAGGGGTAAGAGCCCTAGGAGCATCTCTTGTTCTAACGAGGCAGCTGTGAGTAGGTTCCTGGGTGGGGATTAATCACCAGAAAGACCAGGCCATGATTAGAAGCTTGGAGTTTCCACCACCACCATCCTCAACATGCACACACACTTCTCTAGAGAGGGGAAAGCAGCTGGAAATGGAATCAATAATGGATTAGGTATGCTGAAGCTGTTATAAAAATCCCCAAGGTGTGGGGTTCAGAAAGTTTCCAGGTAGGTGAACACATCCACATTATCAGGGGGGTAATATACTTCAACTCCACAGTAACAAAAGCTCCTGCTCCTAGGACCCTTGCAGACCTTGCCCTACAGATCTCTTCATCTGTCTATCAATCTATATCTATTATCATATCCTTTAATAAGCTAGTAAACATAAACAAGTGTTTCCCTGAGTTCTGTGAGCTGCTCTAGCAAGTGAACTGAATCTTGGGGAGGTGTCAGGGAAACCCCTGAAGCGCAGGGGCAACCTAGACTTGTGATTGACAGCTGAAGTAGGTGGGGGCAGCTTCATGGGACTGAGCCCTTAACCTGTGCCATATGATGCTCTCTCCAGGTAGACAGTGTTAGAATTGAGTTAAATTGTAGGATACTCAGCTGGTGTTACAGAATTGCTTGGTGAGGGGGGAGAAACACATATCTGATACCAGTAGTGTCAGAAGTGAAGTGAAAGCAAAGAGAAAGGCATAGAGGAGGACTGTAGGTCTGTACAATTCCCTCTGCCTCTCCAGGTGGGGCATCAGACAAGTCACAGGGCACCAGGAAAGCTGGAGAGGGTCACAAACTGGAGGCAAACTTGCCATCAGTCTGCTCTCTCTGACCCACCTCGAGTCCCACCCGAGACGCACCCTGACTTCTGGGCTCTCATTTTTGTAGTTAAATCCATGGGGAGGCTTCCACACGAACCTCTGTCTGAGGCCCAGGTTCTCAGGATTCTCACTTAAAAGCAACGCTCGCTACTCCACCTGCTTGATCTTGTTTCCTGCCTCTGGAGCATCTGTGCTTTAGGAATCTGTTGAGCACTCTGTGGAATACCCCAGGGCGACAGAGCTTTCCATGTCCCAGGCCCAGAAGAGGCTCCAGGGCAACCAGCTCATCACTCACCACCAGCCAGCCGGTCCTTAAGAAAAGGACAACCCCAAAAATGTTGATCATGCAGGAGGTGAACACACCGTCCCAGGTCCCGAACAGCACTGGCTCCCATACGAACAGCTGGATCTTCCACCAGGGTTGGGGCTGGGCCAGGGCCTCCTGAAAACAGGGCACACAGCAGTCAACTCAACAGCAGTGGGGGTGGGGTGGGGGTGCTGGGAGAAGTCAGCTTTAAAGCTCTGCATTTCTCCACGCCACACAGGCCTGTGCACACTGCGATTCCTCTGCCTGCATGTAGCACAAACGTGCTGCTCAGCAAACTTTGTTCCCTCTCCTTCTGGCCACTCAGGAGACTGTTTCCTAGCCTCATTATGGGCGGTGTGGCCACATGACTGAGTTCCAGCCACCAGGATGTGAGCGAGCCTGGGATGCGGGGCTCCAGTTCAGACAGTGGTCACGAGCTCTGGGTGACGCCATCCTCCCTCTCAGTCCTCTGTTCCCGGAGAGGAACAGCAGCTTCCAGCAGTTACTAGTCTTTGGGGAACCTTACTTAGCTTTTTGTTGCTCCCGCCCTTCTAACACTTCTGTAATGCTAAATTCCCTCTATTTAAAGAACCTAGGGCAGTGTCTGTGTTCCTCGCTGAACATGAGATGAGACAGTGATCCCTAAGTGCCCCTTCACCCCAGACCACAGAATCCCAAGGCATCATTTGGCAGCTGTCTGGAATGAAGGCTAACAAGTGGTGAAACAGACACTTTGGTCATTTTTCCAATTCAACAATAACAAAGGCACTCATACAGAAACTCTTTACTAGAAAGACTAAAACTCATGGAAATAATCTTAAAATCAGTAGCCACTCACACTAGGAACTGCTTCTGCATAGGTTTGGTAATTAAATTCAAACATCACTAGAGTCTTCCAATGGCCTCCAACTGCCACAACAGTGATGAGTGATTCTCATCTGGGGACCGGGGAGAGAGGCACCCAGTTAAGACCTATTGTGAGCAATAAGCCTGACTGGTGCATGTATGTGAGCTGTAACTTCACAGAGAAGGCAGGAAAGTCAAGTGACAGGGGAAATCGGAGGTCCAGAGTCAGGGGCAGGGCCCCTGAACATCTGAGAACAGCGGGTGTGCCTATGATCTAGGACCAAGCCCAGTGTCCAGCTATACTCAGTTAAAACAGGAGAGGATACCAGCTTCCTGCCTTGTATTGTGCACTGACAGAGGAACAAAAGGCCTCGAATAATCATCAGAGACATCAATGAAGCCACACGGGACAGATGGGCCGGGGGACTCCTTGGAGTCTCTGACAGTCCCTGACACCAGCTGGAATGCCTTTCATCTCTGTGTATTTCTGTTCATCTGTCTTTAGCAAACTACTAATGAGCAATCTCCTGAAAGTCAATAAACATGAGAACAGTGATCATGGTTCAGAGCAAAGACCCTGCCAACCTATGCTTGTCTTCAAACAAATGGTACCGAGGGACCTTGGGGTAAGTATAATAAGACTGCTTTCCAGGATCTTAATCTCAAAACCCAGGACCTGGCCCAGTTTCCTGTCTCTGCTTATGTTCACTTCCTATCATGGCTTGTTGCAGGTCTATTATTTATTAGAAACAGTCATAACAATAGCAACAAGGTGTAATAACTTAGAGAGTGGTTTCAGCTTTCACATCAATTCCCTCCATTGCTGCTCACATCACCCCCTGAGGCAGGTGGGGAGAGGGCCCCTATCTATAGCCTGCTGAGGAAAGAGAGCCCAGGAGAGACACAACTGCCCTAGGTCCACAGCTGGATTGCAGTTCCCCAACCCAGACTGTAAAACCTGCACCACAGCTCACTTGCTCTTTTCTCTCCTAAATTTCACTCTTTATGATGCAATTTCTAACACCTGGACTTTGCTTAAGTACTGGTGGCTCAGTGGTAAAGAATCTGTCTGCCAATGCAGGAAAGCCCTGGGTCGGGAAGATCTACTGGAGAAGGAAATGGCAACCCACTCCAGTATTCTCACCTGAAAAATCCCATAGACAGAAGAGCCCAGAAGAGACTGTAGTCCATGGGGTCACAAGAGAGCCAGACACAACTTAGTGACTCAACAGCAGCACCACCTGCTTTATCCTTAAAATTCCTGTTGTGATTCTAGAAATTTTATTCATCATTCATCACAGTCTTCATATTTCCACTCTGAAGGGCTGTTTTGTTTATTTGTTTAGTTATCTAATAGGATATGAAAAGCCTTTCACTACCCGGACCTCATTGGACTAAACCAGCCTTAAAGGTGCCGCACACACGAATGAGGTAGAAACATTAGGAGATCTTCACCCTCAGAATAAAGCTGTAGGTAAAGGCATGCGTGGTTTGAAATGAGTTTGGTGGCCCTAGTGTTGACCTTGTAGGAGAGTACTAGCCAAAGAGACAGCTCAAACCAGCCCCCTTGCATAGTAACAGCGTGGCCCCAGGGCTGGTACCATTCTTAGACCAGTTCCAATGCGTATGTGTTTTCCCCGTGTCAAGCAAGTCTCTGATATCAGCTAGGTGTCCTGTAATTCAACTCAGTTCTGACACCATCTATCCAGAGATGGTGTCATCCGACAATCGAGGGCTCAGTCCAGCAGATGCCAATTCCAAATTCAGGCTGTAATCTGTGTTTATCTGGGAAGGTAAACAGCTTCCCAGGGGCTGTTGATCAGAGGTTCCCATCACCCACTTCTTGGGTTCAATTCATTTGTTAGAGCCGCTCACAGAACTCAGAGATCACCAGCTTATTATGAAAGGCTAGAACTCAGAAACCACCGGATGGAGGAGATGCCCAGGGCCAGGCTGGGGAAAGAGCCTGGGATATCCACATCTTCTCCCAGGGTAGCACCCTCTCTTCATCTCCATATGCTCACCAAGCCAGAGGCTCTCTAAACCCTCTTTTTTGGTTTTCTTAGGAGGCTTCACCACATAGGCATGATTGATTAAATCACTGGTCACTGGTGACAGATTTAACCTCCAACTCTTTCACTTCCAAGTTCCAACCCTCTAATTACATGGTTGGTTCCCCTAAAAACAGCCCCCATCCTTAGATGGTTCTAAAAGCCACCTCATTAATATAAACCCAGTTGTGCTTGAAATGCATTTGTTATAAATATCAAGACATCTTATCACTTTTATCACTTAGGGAATTCCAAGGGGTTTAGGAGCTCTGTGCCAAACACATATTAGCATGAAAGTGAAAAAGTGAAAGTGTTAGTTGCTCAGTTGTGTCCAGCTCTTTGCAACGCTATGGACTGTAGTCCGCCAGGCTCCTCTGTCCATGGAAATCTCCAGGCAAGAATACTGGAGTGGGTTGCCATTTCCTTCTCCAGGGATCTTGCTAACCCGGGGATAGAACCTGGGTCTCCTGCATTGCAGGCAAACTCTTTACCATCTGAGCAACCATGGAAGCCCATATTTACCATAAATAACAGTATCCCAACCCTGCCCTCTGTCTGTCCTGCCAGCTCTCTAAATACCCCCAGGTCTTGCTCAGACAGGCTGCAGACAGAGCCATGTCCTCAGCATATGCAGACTTCCAACCAAGGACAGAGTATCAGCTTTTCCCCACACTTGGGGGTCTCAAACCCAACTCCCTCCTTTATGGGAGGTTAAGGAACCCCAGCTCATCTACAATACCCTCTTCCGCAGAGGCTGTGGCCCACAGACACTTCCTTTGTGCCTCTGCCCAGTCATTTCTGGTGCGCGGGGGAGGGCAGTGGAATCACTAGGTGACAGGGGTGATAGTTGGGCCAGTTCTGGGCTATCTTGTGATTGGCACCAACTGTTGATAACTCTCTCAGAAACTGTCTTCAGATCTGGGTCCCAGTCATCTATTCCAAAATAACAGAGTATCATTCAGTGCTCTATGGCACAGACATAACAGGTTGCGGGGAAAGGCGGACGGCAGTAAGACAACGTGTGTGCCCAGCAGTGAGGCTTCCGGGAGACAGGGGTGGAAACTAAGGAAGAAGAGAAAGCAAAGCAAGAGGGGCAAAGCATCCCTCAGAAAGGCACACACATGCTCAAGGGGCGGGTTCCTCTCTTCCTTGAGGCCCCGCAGGTGGACACTTGGCAGGTTCTGGGGCACAGCAAGTTGGAGTCTGGCCCTGGGCGATCACACCTGCGTGATGCTTGTTGCTAGGGCTTCCCTTCCTGACCTCCCAGAACAAGGAGCCAGGGCCTGGTCCCTCTAAGCCGAGGGCTGAAACCACACTGGAGACACCACAGCTGCGGGGTGGGTGTTTTAGTTCTGAAGTAGAAGTCTTTCTCTTGTGAGTAGAGAATCTTCACTCTTCGGCAGAATGTCTGGGAAGGCAGGGAAATCGCATCCTGAAATGTGTCCAGAGTGGGACACACAGCTTCCAGCATGCAACAAGCAGAGCTGAGGAGACAGACGCTCTGCCACAGCGGGCCACGCGAGCTCCCGCCCCGGAGCCTTCCTCTCAGACGGTCACCTCCTTCCCGCAGGCTACCAAGCAGGCCTGAGCGAGCACACCTGAAATGTGAGATGACACCTCTTCTTTCTGCCAGCAGCTGGAGAAAAAGAATCTGGCTTCTGCCCACTTGGGTCAGGAGCGGGTCAGAGCAGGACATGACCTGGCCCTCCCTCCCAAAGACACACACACATGCTCCCTGGAGCACACACATATGCCAGCAGCTTGCTCTCTGAATGCTAGTTATTTAATTATCAATCACACATCAGAGGAGATCCCAAGCTGCTGCTGGCCTGTGACCCAGTGGGCAGAGTGGGCACCAGCCACATTCCTCTCTGACTCTGAATAAGCACCACAGGCAGAGCTGGGTGGGGGGCAGCAGGCCCCATGGCCACGGCCACCTGTGGCCGATGCAGGTAGCTACATACCTGCCTCAGGGTGGGCTGCACAGTTTAGATGAGATGATAATTGTGAAAGGTTTTTTCATAAGCATGAAGCACATCAGGCAGTTTTAAACATAGGTGAGGATTTCTTCAGGGCAGTTGAGAGGGAAAGGAAAGATGTCTAATTGACTGTACTCTTCTATTAGCCCAACTAACCTGGCCTCATGTTTCAGGTGAATCTTCACCTGAAACATGAATCCTCTACAGCTCAGCCCTGCTCAGTCCCAGTGCTGGGGCAGCTGGCGCCTTCTCTGTTGCA